TTCTCCCCGACGCGGGCTCAGGCGGGCGGGTTCCCAGGTCCTGGTGTGGCGTGGACTCCGCTGACGTCCGCGCGCAGAGCCTCCTGCAGTCCCGGGAGGGGGTCCGCCCAGCAGACCCTCTCCAAGCGTTCTTCCACGACCACGGGGCGATTCCACGGTAGAACCCAGGCCTCCTGACCCCCAGCCCCCGGCGTTCCTCTTTGCGCCTCGCTTGGGGCATGCAGCCGCCCCGCTGGGAGGCGCCGACAGGTGTCTGGCAGCACCTCCGCTCTCCCAGACCTTTCTTTTCTTTCCCCCCGCGCTCCCACCAGTGCGTAGATGATCCTCGTGTAAAGCTTTTAGACCCCTAACTCGTTCAAATGTCACCCCTGCATTTGCTCCCTCGCTCATCCATTCAACCAAAAGCGACTTCCCACCGGTGCAAGGCTAGCAATGGACTTTAGTCTTTGCCTTCATTGGGTAACAGCAGCACCTCAAGTTGACCCCATAGCGTACCCTGCTTGCTTGCTGTTCTGGTTAAAATAGTTCTCTTAAAGTGGTTTTAACGTGCCTGATATAAAGTTAACATTTAGTAAACATTAGGGTTTTTTTTTTTCTTATTTTTTTTGAGAGATTTTTGCTATAGGGCTCATCCGCTGGGGGAGAGAGGGAGAGACAGAGACGGAGACAGAAGGTATCACCCTCCATGGGGGATGGCCACACCACAATCCCTTCTCCAGTCTCCTCTCAGGATTTTGGACATTCATGCACACGAACCAGGCATCCACTACGCCACCTGCTGGGCGTTAGTTGTTATTGCTATGGGTTGTCAAAGATACTGCTCTTCATGTTTTCCTAAATCCCGAGCAGAAACAAACACAGCAGGTCTGAGACGGCTATCCTTGAAAGGCTTACTTGAAGGTTCGCCTTTGCCCAGTACCTGGGAACTTGGATTTTGGGAGTGTTTCCACTATTCCTGATTGGTAGTTTGCTCTGCCCAAATTGTTTGAACCTAATATTAATGGAGTCACAGTGTGTCTGGCTTCTCTTGCTCACTATGTCTGAGGGATTTATCCATTTTTCGCACACTTTGGTAGTTTGTTTGTTGTATATTATTATTTTGTATCACAGTTTCTCCATTTTCCTTTTTATGAATATTTGGGTTGATTCCACTTTGGGGCTATTATGAAACCTCTCTGAGCATTCAGGTCCATATCTTTTGGTGGACGTATACACTCATTTCTACTGTGTGTAATGCATGGAGATAGGATGCATGGGGGTGTATGTTAACCTTTAATAGATATTGCCAAATAATGATTGCATCAGTTTTTATAATCTCACCAACAATGGATGACAGTTCCGGTTGCTCCATGTTCTCACCATTTGGTAGTTAGTCTTTTTCATCTTAGACATTCTGACGGGAGCATAGTGGTATTTCATTATGGTTAAATTTGTATTTTCCTCGGCCACCAGGAGGTGTGGTGGCTAAGGTGCTTCCACACGGTCTACCATGGATTGAGTCCTGGACTTGGGGGTGGGGGGGGGTGGTTGAAAATCAAGCTGGGCACATGCCCCAAAATCCTGAGAGAAGAATGGAGAAGGGATTACAGTGTGGCTATCCCACTGGAGGGTGATTTCTCATTTTCCCTTTCTCTGTCTCTCTCTGGTGAGCACATGTGCCTTATGACAAAAACCTAAAAAAAAAAAAAAAAAATGTATTTTCCCAGTGATTGAAGAACATTTTCATATGTTTATTGGCTATTGAGTATCTTCATTTGTCAAGTACCCACTTGGGTCTTTTTCCTATTTTTTTTTTTTTTAAGTTGGATTATCTTACTGATTAATTGAATGTCATTATATATTCTGGATATGAATCCTTTGTCAGTTATACATATTGCAAATTTCTTCAAGTTTGCATCCTGTTTTTTACCTTCACAATGGTGTTTTGATGAATAAAGTAGTTAACTTTAATCAAGTCTAGTTTAGCAATTTTTTCTCTTGTGGCTAGTACTTTTTGTGTTCTGATTTTTGTTTGTTTGTTTGTTTTCTTGTAGTTTTTGCTATATGGTATGTGTGCTCACTGGAGTGGGGGGGAGAAATCACTCCCCAGGGAGATGACCACAATGCAATCTCTTCTCCAGTCTCCCCTCAGGGTTTTGGGCATGTACATACATGCGCCCAGTGTGTTTTTCAAACCACTGTTTCTGGGACCCAATTTACATAGTGGGCCACATGGAATCTAACTACCTTAATCACCACCCTGCTTGGCTGTCCCTATTTAAGAAACTTTTGGCTACCCTAAGTTCATGAAATTATTGTCCTATGTTTTATCCTAGAAGCTTTATTTTACATGTCATACTCAAGACTATGAGCCATTTTTTCTTTTTTTGAGAGGTTTTTTTTTTTTTTTTGGCTATAAGGTGCATGTACTCCCCAGAAAGACAGAGAGATAGAAAGCGAGAAATCATCCCCCAGGGGGAATGGCCATGCTGCAATCCCCTCTCCCTTCTCCTCTCAGTATCTTGGGCATGCACGCACATGTGCTCGGTGTGAGTTTAAGCCACTGGATCTGGGACTGGAACGGCAGTCGGCTACATGGGAGTTCAGTGACATAGCCACTACGTTAAATGCTGATCTCCAAGACTATGATCCATTTTAAATGATTTTTGTTTGTGGGTTATATGAAGTAAGGTCAAAGTTTATTTATTGAAATAATTATCATATTTTCCTCACTGCATTAGAGTGGCACCCTTGTCATAAATCCTAGTACCATTTGTTGAAAAGATTATCCTTTGTCATAAATTAAATGAAAAATACAGTACGCATAGTTCTAGTTCAGGTCTATGTTGCTTATGTTCTGTTCCATTAGTCTCTCTGCTTTTGTTCAACACTTGTGCGTCTTAATTAATGAATTATTATAGTAATTCTTTAAATCTGGTAGTGTAAGTCCTCCAACTTCATTTTGAAGGATTTTCTTGCCCAGTTCTTTTTTATTTATTTACAGATGCATGTTAGAATCAGATGATCAGAACTGTGCCTCCTTCCTTTGCAAGTTTGTACACTCCCTCCCATCCCACTGCTGTGGTTTTGACTGGAATTACCTTAGATCCTTAGATAAATTTGGGGATGGTTGACAGTTTTACAATATTGAGGCTTAAAATTCATAATGGTATAGTTCTCCACTTACTTATTGTTTCAGATTTCTCTTAGTGTTTCATGGTTTTTAATATGGGGGTTTTATGTATCTTTTGCTATTAGGTAGTCGGAAAAGTCATGACATATTTTTGCATATAAAAATATGTCATGACTTTCCCGATGACCCGGTAGATTGTTGTGATTTCTTCATTCTAATTGTAGATTTTTTTTTTTTTTTGAGAGGTTTTTGCTGTAGGGCACGTGTGCTCGCCAGAAAGACAGAGAGACAGAAAGCAAGAAATCTCCCCCCAAGGGGGATGGCCATGCCGCAATCTCTTCTCCTCCATTCCCCTCTCGGGATCTTGGGCACACATGCACACACATGTTTAAGCCACCAGGTTTGGGACTCGAACCACAGCCAACTACATGGGAGTCCAGTGACAGCCATTACACCAACTGCTGGTCCCCTAATTGTAGATTCTTAAAGCTGACTTACATGCATAAATGCATCATCTCTTTTTACTTCTTTTCTACCTTTGTGCCTTTTTCATTTTCTTGCTGTATTACATTAGCTAGGACCATCAGCATAATAGTGTTGAATAGAATTGGTGATTGTGGATATCCTGGTTTTGTTTGATATATATTAAATTTAAAGAAAGTTCCTATTTAAGTACAGGGAACACATGAGCTTACCTGGTTCAATTACTGACCACTTTACTTACTTCTTATAGGCATGGCTAGTGTGAAAGCAGCCCCAAAGATCATTGACACAGGAGGAGGCTTCATTTTGGAAGAGGAAGAAGAAGAAGAACGTAAAATCGGGAAAGTTGTTCATCAACCAGGTAAACTGTGACTTTTTCAGAAAATAAGTATCTAGATTGTTTATTTTGAGTCACATGCACAAATTTTGCAAGCTGATGTTACATAATACCACTATTTTTTTATTTCATGAGAGAGAAAAAAAGATAAGCACCCTCAGCTAGGTCTCTTGCTGTGATTCTCTCCCCAACTTTTTTTGACCAGCCAGGCTCACTAGGTTCAGTGTAAATAGGTTGACCTGGATACCAAACTCTGATCTTCCTTATGGCTTCCAGCACTGCAGAACTTTGTGTTCCAGCTGCACTGTTGTGGCTAGGCCAGTACGACACTTAATTCAGTCAGTAAGCAGATTAATTTCATAATAATAATAATAAACATTTGGCAGTTTTGCTAATATATTAAAAATATCAAAGGGGACCAGCAGATAGCATAATAGTTACGTCGCTGGACTTCCATGTAGTCGACCACGGTTTGAGTCTTGAACCCAGTGACTTAAAACTCACTCCAGGCACATGTATGTGCATGCCCAAGATCCCAAGAAGAAATTGGAGGAGAGGGGATTATGGCATGGCCATTCCCCTGGAAGGTGATTTCTCACTTTCTATCTCTCTGTGTCTCTTCAATGAGTACATGAACCCTATAGCAAAAACCTCTCTCTCAAAGAAAAGAAAAATCAAAGAAACAGCCATACGTATGGAACTAATTATATAACTCATGGTTGCATATTTTGGTTGATGCTCTGTTTAATTGTAATAATCAGGCACAGTCAGTATCTTAACTGATAGAATAGATACTCAGACTTATGTTGATAGGCTGAAATGAGAGGGCCGAACCCAAGAGATTAAAGTTTGGACAATCTTTTATTTATGTTTGGAGAAAAAAGGCAGTTTGCAAGGTATAAGCTAGGGACACCTGACATTAAAAATAATTACCTAAAGTTAATGCTTTGGTAATCACTTACACATATCTTCAGGGTGAGGATGCTCTCACACTCTTTGAAAAGATTATGTTTTATTTGATCATAAGTTTGACAACTTAGAAAACCTATTTTAGTCTTTAGATGCAGTGACAGAAAGAAGAGTTGTGTGTTAATCAAGTAGGTAATAGCCTTGTTCTGTTCTATGTAGTCTGAGGTATTTTCAGAAGCTGAGACCTGAAGGATTAAGATACTTGTCTTTATTTTGGATATCTTATATATATATATACACACACACACACATATCACATATATATATATATATTTGGATATCATATATATATATATCATATATATATTTGGATATCATATATATATCATATATATATTTGGATATCATATATATATATCATATATATATATACACACACACACATATATATACTTTTTTTTTTTTTTTTTTGGAGAGGTTTTTGCTATAGGGCATGTGCAGTCACCAGAAAGACAGATAAAAAGTGAGAAATCACCCCTCACTGAGGATGGCCACACTGCAATCCCTTCTCCATTCTCCTATCAGGATCTTGGGCATGTACGCATACACGCCTGGAATGAGTTTAAGCCACCAGGTCCGGGACTGGAACCGCGGTTGACTACATGGGAGTTTAGCACCATAGCCATTACTCCAACTGCTGATCCCTGGATATCATATTTTAAGAGGGATATAAGCAAGTGTATAGTTTGCAAAAGAGGGTGGCCAAACAAATGGAAGTCTTGAAATTGGCATGAGAGAAATGGTTGGAGCCCAGCCTTGGTGGTGCAAGCATGAGGGTACCTTTGGACCGAAGCTGAGGCTGCGTGGGAGGCCAAGGTTTGCCTACTGGCCTGAGCTAAAGAGGCTGGGCATGGTGTGTTCACTTGTGATCCTAACGAACGGGAGACTGGGGCAGGAGGATTGTGGCATAGTGAGGCCCTGTCAAAAATACCCATCTCTCTGTCATTCCCACCTCTTCCTTTTCTCTTCTTCCCTTCCCTCTATTCATTCTGTCTCTCTCTCATAAAAGCAAAAATAAAAACTGGTTAGATTTAATCTGGAAAATACATTTAACTACCTGCAAATGGAAGAGGGCTTCTCTTCGGTAGAAAAATTAAACTTACTATGATTTGCTTTGGGAGGCAGAAGTGGGACAGTGGGTGATGATTATGGTGAGGGAGATTTCAGCCCAGTGTAATAAAGGTATACTTTAAGTAGATTTAACACCTGGCATTTACAGAGTGTTGGTCCATACATTATGTGAGCTTCACCATGACTCTGGTTTGCTGCCTCTAAGTAGCAAAGCATGGAGGCTTTCCGAGATTGAAAGACGCCCCCCTCCCGACCATGCTATTGTACAGGAGAAGCTCTGCATTAGGAGGGAAGGTCTCGAACTCAGTGACCTTTAAAGCCTTATGATTTTATGTATCCAAAGACTCACTGTGACTATTTTTGTAGATTCCTGAGTCTACCATAGGCTATAAAGCCTAGGCTTGCATTTAATAGGACATTCAGCAAACATGTCTTGAGAACCCCGTGTAGTCTTTGCTGCCTGACTAAGGTGCGCATGTGGCGGGTGCCATTACTGTTTTCATGTGTTGATACTATGCTGCTCTTTGCAGCGGGAACTCTGGTAATAAATTCATGTAAATCCAAAAAGATGTTCTCTTTGACAAATCAGAAAAAGGCCCCCTTTCTCTGGGCTAGCATAGCCTGGCCTGAATTCATGGCTTAGTAAGTCATCATGGCCTGCATTGTGACCTGTCTGCCCCCTTGGTCAGACGCTTTCACACAGGGCCCTATTTGTACTGCTTATGTGGCTGACCTGTGTTAGTGGAGAAGTCAGGAGAGTGGTTAATATGTGTATATATACATATACATAAATAAAAATAAATGCGTATTTGTTTGCGATAGGGCACATGTGCTCGCTGGAGACAGAGAAGGAGAAATCTAGAATCTCTCAAGATCTTGGGTGTGCATGCACAGTTCCATCAGATCTGGGACTTCAATCACACAGTCAGCCATGTGGGATCCAGCCACCTTAACCTCCATGCCACCTGCTGACCTAACAGCAGTTTTTAAATCATTTTTTCCTTGTTAATTTTAAAAGTCTGTTTCTTCAGCCTTGCTGAGAAAAATTAAGATGCTTTATTTAGGTCATTAAGCCTTGCTGTCTGTAAAGCAAAGCCTGTCAGATACTTTCAGGGTCTTGAACAGTGATTCATAAGTCACTAGGAAAGTTGTGTTAAAACAGAGATCGCTGGGCCCCAACCCCAGAATGTCTTTCGACTTAGTAGTCTGAGGTGGGGCTGAAAATTTGTTTCTAATCAGTTCCTAGGGGATGCTGCTGCTGCTGACCCCAGAACCACATTTTGAGAGCCTTTGATCTAGAAGATTAAATCCATTGTGTACTTGAGGACTGTAGGCAAATGTAGTTATACCTAGATTTTTTTTTTTTTTTAATTACTAGAAGGTATGTATGTTTGACAGAGAGAGACAGAGACAAACATGGAGAGGGGGAGAAAGTACCCCTCAACAGGGTGTGGTTATGCCACAGTCCCTTCTCCATTTCTCTATCCTGTTGGAAAAAGAAAAAAAATAAATAAATAAAACAAAAAATAATTCTTAAATTAAAAAAAAAAGAAAAGAAAACCACAACAAATAAATAGATAAATAAATAAACATTAAAAAAAAAATGAACAGGGCCAGAGAGTAGTAGATACCATCAGGGCTAGGCACCTGATCCTTAAACCCCTAAAAACTTAATTCTAAGAAGTTCCCATGTAAGGCAAAAAGAGAAGTGTTTTTTTTATATATATATACACACACACACACACACACACACACACACACATATATATAACTTTTTTTTTTTTTTTTGGAGAGGTTTTTGCTATAGGGCATGTGCAGTCACCAGAAAGACAGATAAAAAGTGAGAAATCACCCCTCACTGAGGATGGCCACACTGCAATCCCTTCTCCATTCTCCTATCAGGATCTTGGGCATGTACGCATACACGCCTGGAATGAGTTTAAGCCACCAGGTCCGGGACTGGAACCGCGGTTGACTACATGGGAGTTTAGCACCATAGCCATTACTCCAACTGCTGATCCCTGGATATCATATTTTAAGAGGGATATAAGCAAGTGTATAGTTTGCAAAAGAGGGTGGCCAAACAAATGGAAGTCTTGAAATTGGCATGAGAGAAATGGTTGGAGCCCAGCCTTGGTGGTGCAAGCATGAGGGTACCTTTGGACCGAAGCTGAGGCTGCGTGGGAGGCCAAGGTTTGCCTACTGGCCTGAGCTAAAGAGGCTGGGCATGGTGTGTTCACTTGTGATCCTAACGAACGGGAGACTGGGGCAGGAGGATTGTGGCATAGTGAGGCCCTGTCAAAAATACCCATCTCTCTGTCATTCCCACCTCTTCCTTTTCTCTTCTTCCCTTCCCTCTATTCATTCTGTCTCTCTCTCATAAAAGCAAAAATAAAAACTGGTTAGATTTAATCTGGAAAATACATTTAACTACCTGCAAATGGAAGAGGGCTTCTCTTCGGTAGAAAAATTAAACTTACTATGATTTGCTTTGGGAGGCAGAAGTGGGACAGTGGGTGATGATTATGGTGAGGGAGATTTCAGCCCAGTGTAATAAAGGTATACTTTAAGTAGATTTAACACCTGGCATTTACAGAGTGTTGGTCCATACATTATGTGAGCTTCACCATGACTCTGGTTTGCTGCCTCTAAGTAGCAAAGCATGGAGGCTTTCCGAGATTGAAAGACGCCCCCCTCCCGACCATGCTATTGTACAGGAGAAGCTCTGCATTAGGAGGGAAGGTCTCGAACTCAGTGACCTTTAAAGCCTTATGATTTTATGTATCCAAAGACTCACTGTGACTATTTTTGTAGATTCCTGAGTCTACCATAGGCTATAAAGCCTAGGCTTGCATTTAATAGGACATTCAGCAAACATGTCTTGAGAACCCCGTGTAGTCTTTGCTGCCTGACTAAGGTGCGCATGTGGCGGGTGCCATTACTGTTTTCATGTGTTGATACTATGCTGCTCTTTGCAGCGGGAACTCTGGTAATAAATTCATGTAAATCCAAAAAGATGTTCTCTTTGACAAATCAGAAAAAGGCCCCCTTTCTCTGGGCTAGCATAGCCTGGCCTGAATTCATGGCTTAGTAAGTCATCATGGCCTGCATTGTGACCTGTCTGCCCCCTTGGTCAGACGCTTTCACACAGGGCCCTATTTGTACTGCTTATGTGGCTGACCTGTGTTAGTGGAGAAGTCAGGAGAGTGGTTAATATGTGTATATATACATATACATAAATAAAAATAAATGCGTATTTGTTTGCGATAGGGCACATGTGCTCGCTGGAGACAGAGAAGGAGAAATCTAGAATCTCTCAAGATCTTGGGTGTGCATGCACAGTTCCATCAGATCTGGGACTTCAATCACACAGTCAGCCATGTGGGATCCAGCCACCTTAACCTCCATGCCACCTGCTGACCTAACAGCAGTTTTTAAATCATTTTTTCCTTGTTAATTTTAAAAGTCTGTTTCTTCAGCCTTGCTGAGAAAAATTAAGATGCTTTATTTAGGTCATTAAGCCTTGCTGTCTGTAAAGCAAAGCCTGTCAGATACTTTCAGGGTCTTGAACAGTGATTCATAAGTCACTAGGAAAGTTGTGTTAAAACAGAGATCGCTGGGCCCCAACCCCAGAATGTCTTTCGACTTAGTAGTCTGAGGTGGGGCTGAAAATTTGTTTCTAATCAGTTCCTAGGGGATGCTGCTGCTGCTGACCCCAGAACCACATTTTGAGAGCCTTTGATCTAGAAGATTAAATCCATTGTGTACTTGAGGACTGTAGGCAAATGTAGTTATACCTAGATTTTTTTTTTTTTTTAATTACTAGAAGGTATGTATGTTTGACAGAGAGAGACAGAGACAAACATGGAGAGGGGGAGAAAGTACCCCTCAACAGGGTGTGGTTATGCCACAGTCCCTTCTCCATTTCTCTATCCTGTTGG